TCACTCGCGCCCTGGGTCCCAAGGGGGAAAACAATACGGCCCGCATGATGCGAACCTTGCCGAACGATCTGCAAACGATTACATGGCAATCGGTAGGGTGGCGCCCGATTGCACGACGAATCGGCCACTGCGCGGCGCCTCGGCAGCTACGGGGCAGGAAGGTGGCAACAACCCGCCAGACCGCCAAATAATCCCAGACGACAAGCGGCGACGAGGCGGCAGCAACGATCACGAGGCTGCCGAACCACATGCAAAGCCAGACGTTGCGCGGCGACGAGGCGGCGACAGCAACCACAGAGCCGCCATACCACAAGCAACGCCAACCCTCGAAGAACCCCCCTCGAAGAAACTCGACCCTCATCCGCCCCGACCTCATCCTCCCCTCCTGCGGGAATCGCGCCTGGCGACGAGGCCGAGGCGCGGAGGCCGCGGCAGCGGCTGGCAGCTTGGGCCACGCTGGCAGCGCCGAAGGCGGCGATGCAAGCTGACACGCTCATCATCATCGTCATCATCATCAGCATCACCATCATCATCATCATCATCGTCATCACCATCACCATCATCATGATCATCATCATCATCATCATCACCATCATCGTCATCATCATCATCATCACCATCACCATCATCATGACCATCGTCGTCATAGCCACCATCACCACCACAATCTTCATAACCATCAACATCACCATCGTCAGCATCACCATCCTCATAACCTTCGCCATCATCAGCATGACCATCATCGTCATCATCACCATTACCATTACCATTACCATTACCATTACCATCGCCATCAATTGTCCACCTCCTCCTCCCCCCTGTCCCTCGCCCCCTGCGTATTCCACCTCGAACTCCACATCATCGTCAACGCCTTTTTCTGCATGTGCATCCTCGTCTGCACCACCACTGTTACCTTCAGCAGCATCATCATCATACTCACCACTATCATCATCATCATCATCATCATCAACATCATCAGCACCATCATCATCAACATCATCAGCATCACGATCATCATCATGCGTGTCTTGATCATCCCTGTCCCCCGCCCCCGACGTCCTACTGCTCGCCCTCTCCATCCTCATCAATGGCATGGTTTTCTGAATTGCCAACGCCGCAATCACTGTCGTGTCAACAGCCGCCAACATCACCAACAACATTGCGATGACCCACATCACCCTGTCTCCTACGGACCCTTTCCTCGCCATCGCCGTGAACCCCCGCGCCATGCTGATCACCTCCCTGCCTCAACGCCCATTGCACGCTCAACGCGCTGACCCGTCAACCTCTCTCTGTGACCAACAACCTGGGCCCACGGGGAGCTCAAAGGGGGCACAGCAGGTGGAGGATCAGGAGGAAAAGGATGATGGGCCAGAGGAGGAGGAGCAGAAGCAGGAAGGAGATACGGAGGATACAAAAACGATCGGCGAACAGGAGGCGGAGGATGAAGATGAGGAGGGGGGAAACACGGCGGGCGCGAAGATGAACATCATTAAGGGGTGCGTAACAACAAATAAACAATCAGGACAAACCGTCAAACCAAACAACCCAACTCGCAAAACGACAACACCCCCACCCCAACAAGTCCAAAAAAAAACCACACACAAACAAAACCCAAATTCCCCAAAGTCCCCACACTCTGTCTAGCCCAGCTTGTCATCAAGATCGTCCTCCTCTCCAGAATCCCCCCCCCCCCCCGACCCTTCACATTATCATCCCATCCTGCTTCTCCCTCTCCCACGCCATCGCACTCCCCCTCATGCTTTCACTCTTCCTCCTCATCCCCTTCATCATCAGCCACGTCGTGCTCACCCCGTCAGCCTCCCCCCTCCCTTTAGCACCGCCCTCCCTTTCCTCATCATCATATTCCCCCTCTACTCTCCACATCAATGCCGTTCCTTGTCCAATCGCCGACGTCATAACTGTTAGTCGCCGAAGTCCGTCTTCCCCTTCCCCTTTCTTCCTCATCCACCTCCTGCTCCTCATCATCATCATCATCATCATCATCATCATCATCATCATCATCATCATCATCACTCTACTCCCCCCCCCCATCCTCCTGGTTTTCCTCCTCATCGTCTCCCTCGTCCCCCTCCTCCTCCGTCTCTTTCTTCCCCCCGTCACCTTCATCCTCCCCCTCCTTCTCTCCTACGTCATCTCATTCGCCTTCCCTCTCACCGTCATACTCCTCTTCGAACTCTTTCTCCTCCTCCTCCTCCTCCTCATTCCGTTCCCTACCCCCATGCTGCCTAATTTTCCCAGGGACACAAGATGGCATCAATGACAATACGACGAGCGTTGCCCCGATCAGTCGGCTACGATGGCAAACCAAATAACTAAATAAAGAAAGACTGAGCGAAGCGACAAAATCCGCCGTCCCAACAAATCAAATGCGCGTCAGAAGTTTCAATACGCGCACGCCCGCGTTCGACCGTTCAAGCGAGCGCGACGGCACCTGGAACGAACAAGAACAGAAACACCCAAATAATTATTAGCAAACCGAGGCCCACCGATGCCAGATCTTTCGAGCGTTTCTCACATAATCTCACGCTGCCTACCCACGGCGCCCCACAGAACTCCCAAAGAGACCCAAGGACAGCGCAGCAGCGAACGCCAGCGATGATTCATGGGCGAGGTGGCCCAAAGAGGCCGCATGATACCAAACGCGCCCTCAATAAAACACTCAAGAAAAGCTCCGAACACAAAGCCCAAGAGACGCAGACCCTTGGATAAACAAACCGAAGCGGGATAGGCGATGCAAAACAGGAAGAAGATACATACGCAGGGGGGGGGGCTGAAACGATGATCATAACAAGGAACAAACACGTTGGCGCAGGTTCGCAATGGAACTTGAAAGCGTACAGGCGAGGTCAAAAAACAACAAACATATAGCAGTCAAGTATAGATAAACTTCCCAACGAGATGATAGAGTGCGCAGCACTCTGCTACTACTTCATACGCGCGGCACCGCGACGGCAACCATCTTCGCGGCGCATGGCCAGAGCCTTGAAAAACCATGAACAACAAAAAAAAAAAAACGCGAAAAATTAAGCCCGAAAAACAAAAAAAAATGACCATAAGGATGTAGGGGCCGGGCGGACCCGACCCGGCGGCGCTCCTCGCCCCAGGCGCACGGCCCGCCGCACAGCTGCTGGAAGCGCCGGGTGCACCGCTCCGCGCCGCCGGCCCACGTGAGCACGGCGTTCTGCGAGAAGACCTCCAGGGGACCTAAGCAGGGAATCGAGCTCTATATACACCGACGCGTTTTCCGGCCCTGCATTGAAATTTGCACCCGGGAGCGGATCCGGGAGTGCACGGGACCCTGGTGTGTACATGTCTCGGTGTTTCCCCGGGACATCGGGGACAACAAGTATACACCACACCACCCCAGCGTCGCCCCCGACCCTCAAGAAATCCTGGGATTGAACAACAGCCCGCCACAGGCAACGTACATGTTACAGTTTCCGACTAGGGAGGAAGAAGCGGCACAATGGCACAGTGCGAGGCGGGGGGTGATCCAAGTCCACCGCCTGGGAACCGACGTCCTGGTGCCCCGGCGGGCGGTGGATATGGATATGTCGTGGCCCCCGGGGATCCGAATTTCTACATACCCACCGCCTGTGGAGGTCCGCGAAAATCGCGAGGTACGTTTCCCCGAAGGGAGGAAAAAGCGGCATGATAGTCGACGTTTTCTTATTCGGGGAGACGTAAGACTCGGGTACGGGGGACTCGGGTTGGCCTGGCGGGGCCATCATGGAAATGACGAGACCCAGCCGGAAGTTTCGCGCGACCTCCCGCTGCAAACATCCCACGAAAACTGGACCGTCAGAATCCAGGACGCGGTCGTCCAAAAAAGTATGCCAGACCCGAGTTCCGGCTCACTCGAGTCTCACGTTCCCCCGAAGAGAGGAAGAATCGGGGATGGACAGACCCCCTTTAGTAAAACGTGGTTTAGTTAAAACGACCTGAGGCCCAAACCTGGCGGGCGCAAGCCTGGAAAATAACGGCCACGGCGCCCTCTCGAGAGCCGAACACGGACAATTCACTACTCGACGTGGCACTGTTGGGGGTACTCTCCACCCCCGAAAGAAGCGGGACGATAGTCAACGTCTTCTTACACGGCCTTTCGACATTGGGCGAAGGGGGGGGGGGGGCGGGAGGGGAGGAGGAGGAGGAGGAGGAGGAGGAGGAGGAGGAGGAGGAGGAGGAGGAGGAGGAGGAGGAGGAGGAGGAGGAGGGGGGGTCTGGCTCTGCACCTCTGCTTCGCGCGACTGTTTATTTGCAGCAGGGCGTCCTATGAGGGGGGAGGCCCCACCTGCTCGAGACACGCGCACCAAACAGCCAAGGATCTACTCCATGGGGGGGGGGCAGGGGGCCCACGCCGATCGGCAAGAACGATGCATAAGAAGAAGATCGCATAGCACAGACTCTCGACGGTCCGCGCGGCTCTTTCTCGGATCTGCGCCGGGCCCCCCCCCTCCCTGGCGCGCGGAGCGCGCCAGGGGGCAGGGTGGCGACCTCCGAACTCGACCCCCACCAGTCATCATCAGTTCTCCTGGGCCAATGGGACGTGGGGGTCGGGTTCGGACTTCGGCGCGTGCTCGGCGAGTTCCGAACCCCACCCCCGCCGCCCGTCGAAGTGCAGGAACCGCCAGGGGGGGGAGCAAGCGCAGGCCCAAGAAAAATCCGCGCGGACCGTCGAGAGCTCATGGCCACGCCGTTTTCTCTACCTCGAGGGCCGTGCATCCCGAGCGCGCCGTTGTTCAGGTAGGCCCCGCGCGGCCCGTCCTCGAGGCCATGAAGCTTCGGCAGCAGCCGCGCCGGCAGGAAGACGCAGTCTGGACCCGCGGCGGCCCTTCGAGGGCACGGGCGTGCGCATCGTCTGTGTGTCTTTGGGCGGCGAGATCCTCGATCATTGAATCCTCGATCCTCGAACCCTCGAATCCTCGAATCCTCGATCCTCGAACCCTCGAATCCTCGAATCCTCGAAGCCTCGATCCTCGATCCTCGAATCCTCCAAGCCTCGAACCCTCGAATCCTTGAATCCTCGAACCCTCGAGAGCCTCGAAAGCCTCAAATCCTCGAAAGCCTCGAATCCTCGAAATCCTCGAGTCCTCATGCCCTCTAGGCTCGTGAACGCGGCCCCTGGGGCGGGGTGCCACCGCTCCCTCCGATGCCTGTTCCGACCAGGTGCACTTAGGTCGGGCGTGCCCCTCGACAGGAGGGGCGTTGACCTAAGGAACCCTAAGTAAGGAACGAGGCCCCTTTTTCCCATAAGTTGAACCTCGACTTCACATGGAAAACCTCAGGAAAACCCGAGGTAAACTTTGAGACAAACAAGGAACAACGAGCCCCTCCCCAACGAAAAGGGTTCCTTCTTCAGCGCCCCGACTGTACAGGAGGGGCGTCCAAGAATGGTTATAGCAGATCGTCCGGGGACGATGTTTCGTGCTCGCTTGACTGTGTGGTTGGCCACGTTGGGGTTATGATCGAGCTTTCTCCCTCCATACGCCCGTAGGAGGACAGGCCCGACCAAAAGGTACATAGATACGATCAGAGGGGTCATCGGAGAGGCGCAAGAGAGACCCAAGACAGCACAAGAGCACTCCAAGAGGAACCTCGATGGTCTGAAGACGGCCCAAAAGGCCGCCAAGACACCCCAAGAGGCTGTGAAGAGAGCCTCGAAGAAGCAAAAGTCGTCCCATATCCTCTGGGAAATGCATAAGTTTAACATATCCGCTGTTTGGGACTTCGCAGCGTCCAAAGCGGCCCGACGGGCCCCCGATATCGCCCCAAGACGGCTCAAGAGGCCCCCCAGAGGTTTTGAAGACGGCCCAAGAGGACCCCAAGACTGCCCCAGAGAGCCCCGACACTGCCCGCAAGAAGCACAAGATGCCCTCAGAAGGCTCCCAAGAGAGACCCACAACAGCCATGGGAGACCCCCGAAAAGGCCACTGGAGGCCCCCAAGAGGGCCCTAGATGGCTTCAGGAGACCTCTGGAGGGCCCCAGCTCCCACCGACGGCCCAAAGAGACCCTGGGACGGCCCAAGAGGGTCCAAGGACGGCCAAAAAAAAACAAAAAACGCCCAGACGGCGTTTTTCCTACGAAGTACATCGAGTTGACCCGACGCTCTTGGTTCCACGCTTGAGGCTCGAGGTCTCAGTTCCTCAATCGAGAGAGACAGGCAATGGATCTAGATTCGAAGTTCGACGATCGAAGATTTCCTGACTGCCTGAAGCCCTCCAGGCATTCAGGAATCGATCAAAAATCGATGTGTTCGGAGCTACTGCGACTCCTGCGGCGTGTCATGGGAACGCTCCGTACTTCCTCAAAGAACCTTCGCGCGTGAAAGATTCATCATTCCCTCCCCGCTCCTGCGCACAAGCGTGCATGCGCATCGGGCGAACGCGGTGTCAGCAGGCATCAGGGATATCAGAAATATGGGCCGGTCGCCCGTCCAGGCTTCGAGGTCCCCCCCGGTGAAGCAAGCGATGATTGATTGCTGTGCCAGGGAGGGTCCAGAACAAAGCGCATTGCGCGAAGCGCCAATGCAGTCTTGTATATCTGTATATATATATATAGATATAGATATATATATATATATACATACATATATACATATACATATACAAATACATATACATATACATATACATATACATATACATATACATATACATATACATATATATATATATATATGCATACACATATACATACCCATACACATAAGCATATATATAAACATATACATATACATATACACATACATATACATATACATATACATAAATATGTATACAGATACAGATACATATACATATACATGTACATGTACATATACATAGACATACACATATACATACACATATACACATACATATACATATATATATGCATATAAATATATGCATGTACATATACATATACATATGCATCTACATATACATATACATATACATAAACATATACATATACATATACATATACAAATACATATATCTATACATATACACAGAGAGAAAGAGATGTTCGCTGCTCCCTGTCCAGGCCCATCCGGAACCCAGCAGCAGTGTGCCCGCAACGCTCTCCTGGCTTGGCCACCAGGGCGTGTACACAGCTCCTGGGTCCAGGGTGGGCCTGGCCAGGGAGAAGTGGACATGTGTATAGATTGCGTCGCCCAGGGTCTGCCCCTCCCCGAACCTCTCCTTGAGGGGCTCGACGTTGACAGTTAGGAGGGGAGAGCGGGTGCGGTCACCGTGCTGCCACAACGAACGCTGCATGAGGAACGAGGGGGCTTTTCTTTGAGAGCAGAAAGTCCAGCCTCCTAACAATCTCCCCGACACGCGAAGCCGTTTCGTAAACGCACCCAAGGAAGGAATCGAACAAAGCAGGGCTGTTCAGTGAGTGAGCGTTATTGATTCGGCGTTTCGACAATGGGCGGAAGGGGGGGGGGAGGGGGAGGGTCTGGCTCCCGACCTCTGCTTAGTGCGACTGCTGGGAACCGTGCGTCGGCCTATGGGGGGGGGGCTCCACCTGCTCGAAGCGCGACAAAAGCCACCAAACTTAACCAAGATCTACTCCGCCACGAGGGGGGAGGGGGGGGCGCGGGCCCGCGCCGATCGGCAAAACAATGCACAAAAAAACTATCACAGACGCCCAAGGTCGTTTAACAAACGCCACTTCTCGGGTCACCGGGTGGCGTTACCTCCCTTGGCCTCTGGCCACGGCGAGCCTCGGCCCCGAGCAGGCTCCACGACCTGGACGTCTATGCGGCACGGCCCGAGCACCCGCGCCCCTCCTCGGAGCCCACGGGGTGGTCCGTATCATTTCGGCGCCTTGACTGCTCCTCCTCCTCCTCCTCCTCCCTCTCTCCTCCTCCTCCTCCTCCTCCTCCTCCTCTCCTCTTCCTCCTCCTCTTTTTCCTCCTACTCCTCCTCATCCTCCTCTTCCTCTCTCCCTCCTCATCCTCCCCTCCTCCCCTCCTCCTCCTCCTCATCATCCTCCTCATCTCTCTCCTCCTTCTCCTCTTCCTCCTCCTCCTCCCTTTTTCCTCCCCCCTCCTCCTCCTCCTCCTCCTCCTCCTCCTCCTCCTCCTTCTCCTCCTCCTCTTACTCCTCGTCCTCCTCCGAACGGCTGGCTCATGGGCGTCCTGAGTGTCCCCGGACGGCTCGTGGAGCGTCACAAAAGGCAAGACAGCCCGAGAGGCTTCATAGACGGCACGGGCTGCCGCCACAAAGTCCAACAGACCCCTGGGGAGCTCTCAAGAAACCCTTCAAGCCCACTGGAATTCTCCGAGGGAAGGCCTCAGAGTCCGGATCAGAGGCTCCACACAGCCAAAGTCATCAAAGAACTGCTGTTTACGCGTGTTGGCGCTCCACGCATGTCTACCCAAGATGGTATCGGGTGTGCTGAAGACTCAAGACGGCCCCAGAAAAGATTCAAGAGAGGCCCAAGAGAGCCTCTGTAGGAGCCATTGAAGGCCTCAAGGCGCCACGAAATAACCGTAGAGAGACCAATAAGCCCACGAGACGCCCCAGAAGGGCTCCGAGAGAGGGACCGCAGACAGCCGAAGAAGGCCCAAGGCGGCCCCCAAGACGCACCCAGAACAACTACCACAAAACCCGTCCCATCCCTCTTGTATTTTCTGTTGTTGCTTTTCTCTCTCTCTCTCTCTTTCTCTCTCTCTCTCTCTCTCTCTCTCTCTCTCTCTCTCTCTCTCTCTCTCTCTCTTTCTCTATCACCATCATAACATTATCAGCAGCATCGTGAATACCTCAAGACATTATACCCATAGCCATCATCATCGTCCTCCTCATCATCGCCACCAACGTCGTCGTGGTCACCACCATGATAATGCTCGATATCATCGCCATGCTCATCACCATCAACATCGTCATCAGGTCCCTTCTCCAAGTCGTCGTCATCCTCGTCATCATCAATTCCCTCCGTGCCTACTCATTTCTCTGAATCTGCACCTGTTTAGGCCGACGGTAGTCTTAATAAGACATAAATACAGATGTACATACGTACATACATATATATATATGTGTAAATGTATATATAGATAAAGGCATCTGCGGATGTGGTGTCAGCCTCGTGTATCAACCTTGACGGTCCAGCTCGCGCGCTCGAATTCGCCGGCGCTGATGACCTCGGCCCACACGGCCATGAATATGTCGGTGTTGAGGAACTTCCCGGACTCCCCCCCGGTCTCGCAGCGGAGGTCGCTCTTGATCGGCAGGGTGCGCAAGCCTGGCGACACCTCCATGGCCCTGCTGCTGAACAGCGTCCAGAGGTCGCAGGCGAAGATGCTCGCGTGCTTCTCGAACTGGTAGGCCACCAGCCCCGGCTCGTAGCCGGCGGGCCGCATGAGCTGGAAGCAGTAGAGCGGGCTCTGCACGCCCCCGGCCTGTGCAGAGACCGCGGCCGCGGGCCCCGAGGCACCGCTGCCCGAGGCGCCCTCCCCGACGGCCGCCCCGGCCGCCCTGCCGCCGTGCGCCGACGCCGCTGCCACGCCGCCGGGCGCCACCGCGCGCGACCCCGCGGAGGCCGCGCCGCTGGGCGCTGCCGCGCCGCTGGGCACCGCCGCGCGCGACGCCGCGGGGCTGGAGGCCGCGGCGGCGCCGGACCTGCCGGGCGCCTCCTCGGCGGCGACCGCGGCGGGGGGCGCCGCGGGCGCCTGGCCTGCGGGCGCCCCCGCGCGGGGCGCCTCGGCGGGGCCGCCGAGGGCCGCCAGATCGGCAGCGCCGAGGGCGGCGGAGCCCCCGTCCGGGCGGCAGGCGTAGCCGGAGACCACGCCGTCCTGCGCGAGCTTCTGTGGCCACTCGCCAGCGGCCAGCCTCTTCAGGAAGCACACGTCGCTCAGCCCCCCGCGCGCGCGGGCCTTGCCCCACGTCCACGCGCCGCATGCCGGCGCAGCGCTGCACAGGGCGCCGCACGCGTGCGCACTCTGCACGAAGCCTACCACGCTGAGGTTTCCTCGGGTCCGGTAGTACACATTGTCCTCACTTGGATCGCAGGGCTTGGTCGTGGTGATAGCACTTGGCCTCTCCGTCGAGACCGTCGTAGTCGGCGAAGCAGCAACCACCAACGCAGTCGTTGAGGTCAATCTTCCAGAGGTGGTGGTTGATGGGCTCGTCGAGATGCTCGTTGAGATGGTCGTTGAGATTGTCGTTGAGATTGTCGTTAAGAGGCTAGTGAAACTAGTTAGGGTTGTGGTGGTAGTGAAGGTGTGTGTGGAGGTTGTTGAGGTGATCGATATGGTGGTTGACCCGGTTGTGATGGTCAAAACGGATGTCTGCGTCGACGTCGGCTTTGCCGTCGCCGTCGCAGAGGCCGTCTGCATGGTTGTCTGGGGCACTGTCGTGCTGGATGTCAGCGCCGCAGTTAGCGACGCGAGTAGCAGATGTGCAGCCAACCCTGGATCGTGACCACACCTCGCCCCCGACACGGCGTCGGGGTTCAGGTGCTGCTCGGGCTCCTCGCCCGCCTCCAGCGCCCACAGGAAGCAGACCGAGCTCAGCCCGTCCACGCTGCCAGCCTTGCCCCAGGTCCACAGGCTGCACTCGCGGTCCTCCTCTCTGGGGTTGCTGAGGGCGCCCCTGAGGCCCAAGGTGCCCCCAGCCTTTCGCTTGACCTTGGAGCCCCTGAGGGCCCCCTGGGCCTCGTGGGGGGGTGCTCTGGAGGCCGCAGGGGCCCCCCTGGAAATCCTCAGGCCAGGCGCACTCCCAGCAACAACACCCGATCCTCGCACAGCTGGCGGCAGGCGGCCGCGTCGGCCACCCGGCCGACCTGATCCACGCTGCGGGACGTGCGGAGCTCGACGCCGTCCGACACCTCCTGGCAGGCCGCCCCCGCAGCGTCGGCGGGGGCGGGCGGGTCCGTGCCCGCGCCCCGCGCCGCGGGCTCGAGGACGTCTCCCGCGCCGCCCTCGTGGTGCCCGGCAGGCGCCCGGCAGGCGAGGCCGGACACGGCGAGGTCGTTGGTCTGCTTCCAGAGGGCCGCGAGCTCCGCCAGCTCCTTCAGGAAGCACACGTCGCTCGTCCCGGCCACCGCCACGTCCCGGGTCTTGCCCCACGTCCACATGGCGCACCGGGGCTCCGCCTCGCACCGGGCGCGGCAGTCCTCGGGGCTCATCACGTGCTCCACGTGGTAGAGCTCCCCGTCGCCCAGCGGAGTGAGGTACTCCACGTTGTCCTCTGGCGCGGCGCAGCCCACCTGCCCGGACCCGACAGCGGGCCCCAGAGGCCGACATCGGAGCAAAACGTCGGGATCGAACCAAAATCGTGTCGTCGGAGATCTGGCACATAGCGGTGCACGAGCGGCCACTGGTGAAACAACAAGATGCCGAGGCCGCTGCTCCCAGGACCTCTGCCCAGGACCTCTCCCCAGGGTATGTTCAACAATAGAGGATAATCCTGAGACCCAAAAAATATCCCGGCAAAGCAACCTAACAGCGATGTGTATAAGCATATCTGGAAGCATTCCCCTCAAGATTCAGGTGAGAATCCAGTTGTAGAATTCTGCTGTTCTCGCAGTCGCAGTCGCATTCGCAATGATAGTCGAAGTGGCAACGGCCTTAGGATCCAATGGAATCCTAAGGATTCCTAGGGATTCCTAAGGCATCCCTAGGCATCCTTCGGAATCCATAGGAATCCTGAGGATGCTTAACTCTGCCCACGGATTCCTAAGGATGCCTACGGATTCCTAAGGATTCCTAGGGATTCCTAAGGATTCATATGGATTCCTACGAATGCCTCAGCCTGCCTCAGTTTCAGCCTCAGCCTCAGCCTGCCTCGGCTTGCCTCAGCCTCAGCCTCAGCCTGTCTCGGCCTCAGCCTCAGCCTGCCTCAGCCTGCCTCAGCCTCAGCCTCAGTCTCAGCCTCAGCCTGTCTCGGCCTGAGTCTGCCTCGGCCTCAGCCTCAGTCTGCCTCAGCCTCAGCCTGCCTCAGCCTCAGCCTCAGCCTGTCTCAGCCTCAGCCTGCCTCAGCATCAGCCTGCCTCAGCCTCAGCCTGCCTCGGCTTGCCTTGGCCTCAGCCTCAGTCTGCCTCGGCCTCAGCCTCAGCCTCAGCCTGCCTCAGCCTCAGCCTCAGCCTGCCTCAGCCTCAGCCTGCATCAGCCTCAGCCTCAGCCTGCCTCAGCCGCAGCTTGCCTCAGCCTCAGCCACAGCCTCAGCCTCAGCCTCAGCCTGCCTCAGCTCAGCCTCAGCCTCTCATCTCAGCCTGCATCAGCCTCAGCCTCAGCCTCAGCCTCAGCCTCAGCCTCAGCCTGCCTCAGCCTGCCTCAGCCTCAGCCTGCCTCGGCCTCAGCTCTGCGTCAGCCTCAGCCTCAGCCTCAGCCTGCCTCAGCCTCAGCCTCAGCCTGCCTCGGCGTGCCTCAGCCTCAGCCTAAGCCTCAGCCTGCCTCGGCCTCAGCCTGCCTCGGCCTCAGCTTGCCTCAGCTCGGGCATTCAAAATATGGCACTGGACTGTGTTCTGGGAACACGAAGATCACGAAGTGGCCCACAGTTGGCTCCGGGCAATCAAAATATGGTACAGGAATGGTGTTCTGGGAACACGAAGAACACGAAGTGGCCTACAGTTGGCTCCGGGCATTCAAAATGTGGCCTGGGAATGGTGTTCTGGGAATACGAAGAACACGAAGTGGCCTACAGTTGGCTCCAGGCATTCAAAATGTGGCCTGGGAATGGTTTTCTGGGAACACGAAGAACACGAAGTGGCCTACAGTTGGCTCCGGGCATTCAAAATGTGGCCTGGGAATGGTGTTCTGGGAGCACGAAGAACACGAAGTGGCCTAAAGTTGGCTCCGGGCATTCAAAAAGTGGCCTGGGAATGGTGTTCTCTTGGCTCCGGGCAGTCAAAATGTGGCCTGGGATAGGGTTCTGGGGAGTTCCCGGATTCCCGCGGCACACGTCCGGCATCTGCCCAGACCCCCCTGGGGAGTCATGATGCTCTCTTTTGAAACCACTAGAAACCTATCAGTCTTCGCTGCTAGGTAAAAAACGCGAGGCGCATCTGGCCGTGGCGACCACGAAGCCCACAAAAAACGGGAACGAGACAAGGGCCGCGGTATCGACTTCGCCCCCTGCTCCTCCTCCTCCTCCTCCTCCTCCTCCTCCTCCTCCTCCTCCTCCTCCTCCTCCTCCTCCTCCTCCTCCTCCTCCTCCTCCTCCTCCTCCTCACAGCAACGTCGTGAGAAAGCACGACTGGAGCCCCAGACCCAATCTTCCTGCTGCATCCTTCCAGCCGGGCCGATCTGTGACGGCCCCGGGGCCCGCGAAGCCTGGCGGCAGCGCCCGGTGCGAGAAGACTGCAACGCCTGCGCCTCAGGGGAGGCAGGGGATTGTCGAAAGCCTTAGGTCGGGCATGCCCTCCTACAGGCGGATTGTGGACGAAAAATAAAACAGATTCAAAAACTACTCAAAAAAACAAAATTATCCTGACGAAAGACCCAACCATATGCGGTTGTGAGTGCCGCAATTGTGAGTACCTTCTTCGGTGGCGCTCCGTATGGGGCCACGAACCGCATGAGGGGTATGCCGAAATATGGCGGGGTACACAACGCAAAGGAATACGATAGGTCAGATTACGAAAGAATGAACGCGGGTGAGCCAGAGCGCGAGAGAGTCTGAGTGTGAATGGGTCTGCGTGGGAGTGAGTATATTTGCATGAATGCGATCTTGGCTACGCCTAGTGTAAATGTATATGAATGTGAATGGCTCGAGCACGCCTGTCCGAACACTCGTGACACTGGGCGTGGCCGCCGCAGGCAGCTTCCGCGGGAACCCCGACGGCAGCGCCCGCGCGCCGCGACGCCCATGTCGGCACGCCCCTCACGGGGATCGCACCCGCTTCCGCCCCTTCTTTTCCCCCCTCTTTGCCTGCGCGCTCCAAAAATCCAAAGCTGCGGGCGCAGAGCAGCGCGGAGTCCCCGCGACGCGCGCAGGTCGCCGCGGAGGGGTCCCAGCGACGCGCGCAGGTCCTGAGATGGAGCTCCCTGTGGGGCCACGAAACGTGTGAAGGGGTGCCATGCGAACTGCACCACTGGGACCTTAGGTGGAGCTCCCTGAGGGGCCACGAAACGTGTGAGGGGTGTGCCAAAAAGGGGCGGTGGCGCCATGCGAGCTGCGCCACTTGGACCTCAGGTGGAGCTCCCTGAGGGGCCACGAAACGTGTGAGGGGTGTGCCAAAATGGGGCGGTGGCGCCATGCGAGCTGCGCCACTTGGACCGTAAATGGAGCTCCCTATGGGGCCACGAAACGTGTGAGGGGTGTGCCAAAAAGGGACGGTGGCGCCATGCGAGCTGCGCCACGTGGACCTTAGGTGGAGCTCCCTATGGGGCCACGAAGCGTGTGAGGGGTGTGCCAAAATGAGCTCCCTGAGAGGCCACGAAACGTGTGAGGGGTGTGCCAAAATGGGGCGGTGGCGCCATGCGAGCTGCGCCACTTGGACCTCAGGTGGAGCTCCCTGAGGGGCCACGAAACGTGTGAGGGGTGTGCCAAAATGGGGCGGTGGCGCCATGCGAGCTGCGCCACTTGGACCTCAGGTGGAGCTCCCTGAGGGGCCACGAAACGTGTGAGGGGTGTGCCAAAATGGGGCGGTGGCGCCATGCGAGCTGCGCCACTTGGACCGTAAATGGAGCTCCCTATGGGGCCACGAAACGTGTGAGGGGTGTGCCAAAATGGGGCGGTGGCGCCATGCGAGCTGCGCCACTTGGACCGTAAATGGAGCTCCCTATGGGGCCACGAAACGTGTGAGGGGTGTGCCAAAAAGGGGCGGTGGCGCCATGCGAGCTGCGCCACGTGGACCTTAGGTGGAGCTCCCTATGGGGCCACGAAGCGTGTGAGGGGTGTGCCAAAAGGAGCTCCCTGAGGGGCCACGAAATCTGTGAGGGGTGTGCCAAAATGGGGCGGTGGCGCCATGCGAGCTGCGCCACTTGGACCTCAGGTGGAGCTCCCTGAGGGGCCACGAAACGTGTGAGGGGTGTGCCAAAATGGGGCGGTGGCGCCATGCGAGCTGCGCCACTTGGACCGTAGGTGGAGCTCCCTATGGGGCCACGAAACGTGTGAGGGGTGTGCCAAAAAGGGGCGGTGGCGCCATGCGAGCTGCGCCACGTGGACCTTAGGTGGAGCTCCCTATGGGGCCACGAAACGTGTGAGGGGTGCGCCATGATGATGACGATGATGATGATGATGACGATGAGGATGATAGGAGGGGAGAGGAGGCGGAGGAGGAGAGGAAGGAGACGCGGGGCACCGTCTCTTCAAAACGAGGACCCAACACCACAGGATGGTTGGGAAATAGTGAGAAAAAGCATCCCCTGTCTATTCGTTGACTATTTCTGAATGTTCCTCCTGTAGAGGAGTCGCACGCCCAGCTTAACACAGAAGCCGTCCGCTTCAATCCGCCCGCTTCGACTCGTCGGCTTCTCGTCGCCTGGACGGAGCGGGAGAGGACGAGACGACAGAGGGCGAACCCAAAAGGGACGACCCGAAAGAGGACGAGACGAAAGCGGACGAAACCAAAGTCCACCCTCCCAGGGGGCCCGCCCCGAGAGCCCCCCCGGGGGCGCCCCGCAGAAGCTGCGGAGAGCCCGCGGGCGCCCCCGGGGTGTGCGAGGCGGCCCAGCGCCGGCCACGACGAGCGGTGGGCTGCACCGGAGGCCAAGACGGGCACGAGGCGAGAGGGCAAGAGGCGAGAGATGAGGGGCAAGGGTTGGGGGGGGCCTGGCAAATGGGGGGGATGCATCGGCCTGGAATCGGCGCTGCACCGCCGAGAGACCGGCGATGGGCCCCCGATGGTGCATCCGCACGTTCCTGGGCAGGCCGGGGCTGTCGGGCCCCACATCGGCGATCAAGGGGCGACTGGGGGTCGAGGCAGCCCCCCTAAGCCTATCCCCCCGGATCGTTGCCCCTGGAGAGGAACGACAAAGACGGAGCCCGATCAGACCACACCCACCAAAGCACGCCCGAAACGCCGCGGGCCCTCGACCCAGCAGCACGACCCTCGACTCTCGACGAACGCGTCCCTCGACCCTCGACGACGACGCCGACGGCCCTCGACCGTCGACCATCGCCCCTCGGAATGCGACGACAGCGACGACGACGACGACGACGACGACGACGACGACGACGACGACCCTCGACCCTCGACCCTCGACCCTCGACCCTCGACCGTCGACCCTCGACGGCGACGCCGACGACCATCAACCCAGCAGTCCGACCCCAGCGCCTGCCGGGCCTGTGCTGGATCGAGTCGCGGCATCGGATCGGATCGGAAACGGATCGGACCGCCGGCGAGTCGCTCCGAATCGAAGCGAAATCGGGTCGCCGAGCCGAGCCCTGGTTGGCCCCGACAGATGCTGGCGACTCGAGCCGAATCGGACCGAGTCGGAATCGCGGCCCCGGCCAGCGGATCGAAACGGATAACTGGAGACCCTGCCCTCAGACATCCAATGTCTCGTGTTCCGCGGAAGTGCCGGACCCTTTTCGCCAGGGCTGGCTACTCATCGTGAGTCAATTTTCCCCAATTCGGAAACGGCTTCTCATTTGTTTTGAAACAACCGATGGGTGCGAAGCCTGGGTCCAGATGCCTTCCCCGGGCTGCTTGGTCTTGTCTCGTTCGTTGTTGATGTTGAAGAGGCCTTCCCCGGGGTAGTTGGTCTTGTTTCCTTCCTGTGTTTGAAGAGGCCTTCCCTGGGCTGGCTGTTTTTGAAGGGGCCTTCCCTGGGTTGCTTGGTCTTGCTATCTTAATGTTCAACGAGGCCTTGTATGAGTTCCTTGCCTAGCAACGCCAAGCAACGCCAAGCAACGCCAAGCAACGCCAAGCAATGCCAAACAATGCAATGCCAAGCAATGCAAGGCCAAGCAATGCTTACCAATGCCAAGCAGTGCAGCTGAGGAAGCGCTTTCCGCGCCGGGCTCGTTTGCCGGACCCCGGGGCCCAGCGAAGGCCCCCAGAGGCCGAACAACGGCGAAAAACTTTCGTCGGGATGCCTCGGCCCTAGACCCAGCCCGCCCCCCCTCCTCCCCCTCCTCCTCCTCCTTCTCCTCCTCCTCCTCCTCCTGCTCCTCCCCCCCCTCCTCCTCCTCCTCCTCCTCATCCTCCTCCTCCTCCCCCTCCTCCCCCTCCTCCTCCTGCTGCCCCTCCTCCTCCTCCTCCCCCCCCTCCTCCTCCTCCTCCTCCTCCTCCTCCTCCTCCTCCTCCTCCTCATCCTCATCCTCCTCCTCCTCCTACTCCTCCTCCTCTCTCTCCTCCTCCTCCCTCCTCCTCCTCCTGCTCCTCCTCCTCCTCCTCCTCCTCCTCCTCCTCCTCCTCCTCCTCCTCCTCCTCCTCATCATCATCATCGACCCCAGTGCCTGCTGCTTCCACTGCAGCAGCGGCGCCGCTGCCAGGCGCCCGGCGCCAGCGGCGCCGGCCCGCACGCCCGCTGGCCTGACGCAGCTGCGCCCGACCAGAGCCGCCGCGGCCGCCAACGTCGCCAGCAGGGCCGCAGCGAACGCCCTCGGGGAGGATTCGTTCTCGAGGCGACGACGACGTTGACGACGACGACGACGACAAAGACAAAGACAAAGACAAAGATTACCCCAGTGCAACCCTACCTAGAAGTTTGAGCCCCTAGGAAAGCAGCATCAGTTGCTATGCTATGCCATGCTATGCTGCGCTATGCTGCGCTATGCTATGATATGCTATGCTATGCTGCGCTATGCTATGCTACGCTACGTTATGTTTTGCTTTGCTTTGCTATGCTATGTTATGCTAAGCTATGGTATGCCATGCTGCGCTGTGCTATGCTAAGTTATGATATGCAATGCTATGCTAAGCTGCGCTATGTTATGTTATGATATGCTATGCTATGATGTGCTATGAGATGCTATTATGCGCTATTTTATGCTACGCTATGCTATGCTCTGCTGTGCTCTGCTACGCTAAAGCTCAGCGAAGCCAAGATGATGGTAAGCTAAGCTAAGATAAACCTGAGCTAATATGAAGCTAAGCTAAGCTAAGATGAAATAAGCTAAGCTAAGATGAGATAAGCAACGCTAAGCTAAGGGGACGTAACTGGGGGAACCGCGGGGCGGATGCCGGGGGAACCGCCCGGGGCGATTTCCACTGCCCGGCCCCTTTAAGCCCATAGAGTAAGAACCCTTCTAGGCAGAGCCTAGGTAGGGAACAAAGACAAAGACAACGACAAAGACAAAGACGACGACGACGACAAAGACGACGACGACGACGACGACGAAGGCGACAAAGACGACGACAAAGAAAACGACAAAGACGACAAAGACGACAAAGACGACGGCGAAGACGACGACAACGACGACGACGGCGATGTCGTCGACGATCGAGGTGCGCTGCGGGCTTAGAAAGCGTGCGGGGCCGGCCGGAGCCTCGTCGTGGGCGCCAGACACACCTTGGAAGGCCTTAAAGACCTCCTTCTCTGAGATCTTGGCTTTGCAATTTGTTCACCTTGCGTTTTCGCTTCATTTCGGGGCCAGGACCCTCCCAGATCGATGACGCTCGGAAACTGACCCAGAAAAACGGTGTCTGGGGCTCTGGTGGTGGTTGTTCACGATGTTGCATTTTTGTTCGCAGCGTCTGATCTCGGGGTTCATCAAGATGCCACTGCAATGGCAAGGTACGTTATGTGGAGTTCCTCTTGGAGGAGGCAAAGATGGCTCGTGGCTCTGGGTCTGGTTTCGAGGGCAAACGAATGCAGTCTACGAAATGGAAGTAGATGGACAGTTAGATACCGAGAAAGCGAAAATGAGGGAAGCAAATAGAACATGAGGTGATGCCGCAAAGGAGGGAAGGGGATAGAAAAGAAGGTGAGGGGAGGGAGTTGAGGAATTCCCTGGGAATGTTCGCACGCTACACTCTCACTTGACAGCCTGGCCCAAGCGCAAGGTCCTCGCCCATCGCAGCGCGGACGGCGTTCAAAAACTCGCTGAGCGCGGAGTCGCCGGGCTGCGACGATAGAGGACGCGGGTCAGAGCTCCACCATAGGCGCAAGCACAGCCAGCAACCGGCCAAGTGTTAAGCTCTGCGCTGCGCCAACGCACACATGCCTGCGACAACCTAATCATTCCGCGCCCACTCGTCCGCGACCCGCTCCAGGGGAGAGAGTAGAGGCCTCCCAGGTGGAATCCGAGTAGATGGGGTCAGAGGATCGCGCAGCATCGCCAATGCATCGGCGATGCATGGCGCCGGCGAGCGCCGCAGACGAGCCCGTTTTCTTGCGCCGCCCAGGCGGAAGAGCAGCAGCGGAAATCTCGAGCTCGAGCCAGGGGCTGCTGAGAACCAGCGACGCTTGCGGCTCGGACCCACCTCGGCGTCCCCGTCGGATGGAAGTTTTCACTCGGGGCGGAGGAGGAGGAGGAGGAGAAAGCAACGGAGGAGGAGAAGAAAGGAAAGAGAGAAAGAGGGGAAAGGGAGGGGGGCAAGCTAGGTGCGCTCGCGTCATATCTGACTTCCTACCCCTCCCTCCCATCCCTTACCATGGCGCAGATCCCCTCTCTACTCGCTCAGTCGGATGTCGAGCAGGGCAATGATCCCGAAAGGGTACGCGATGCATTGTAGAGCACGGCATGGCATGGCGTAGAAGAGCACCGCAAAGCGTAGTATCAACCTAGCATTGCATTGCATGCCGTGGCATGGCACGGGAAATGACGCCAGCGCTGCAGCGGGAGCACGAGTCGAAACGAGCGGAAGCGCGGAAATGAGGCCAGCGCTGCAGCGGGAGCACGATTCGGAACGAGCGGAAGCACGGAAATGAGGCCAGCGCTGCAGCGGGAGCACGATTCGGAACGAGCGGGGCCCGAAAATGAGGCCGGCGCCTCAGCGAGAGCAGCATTTTGAAAAAAAATGCAGACGAAAACCCAACTCCGGGGAAACCTGTGTAAAAAAACAATACGCGGGGGGGGGTCGGCCACTTTCAAACCGTCGTCCGGGGAATAGGGAGAGTAGTATTCATATTGAGTAATTGTGTAGGGCGGCGGCGACAGCGGCGACGCTGACGAAGACCACGACCACGACAACGACCATCGCTGCGACGGCCACAGCGACGACGACGACGACGACGACGACAACGACAACGACAACGACAACTACAATGACGACTACAATGACGACGACGACGACGACGACGACGACGACGACGACGACGACGACGACGACGACGGCGGCGACGACGACGACGACGATGCTGACGCCGACCACGACGACGCTGACAATCACAACGACAACGACCACAACTACGACCACGACGACGACCACGACGACGACGACAACGACGACGACAGTGACGACCACGGAGACCACGACGACGGCCACGACTGAGAGAACCACGGCACTGACGACGACCAACGCGACAACCACGAGGCCGCGACTACGTCGTCAATGACGACGACGACGACGACGCCGCCGCCGCCGACGACGACGACGACAACGACGACGACATCGACGACAACGACGATGTCGTCGACGGCGGCGGCGGCGGCGACGACGACGGCGACGACGGCGACGACGACGACGACGATCACGACGACGATCACGACGACGACGACGACGACGACGACGACGACGACGACGACGACGACGACGACGGCGAGCTCCTGGCGCGGGGCCGGCAGCACGCCGCTGAGGGGTGCGACGCGTCGTCGCCGCCAGAGGCCGCCGGCGAAGGCCGCACCACGCCTGGCCCGTCCTTGGAGAGCAACTCACACAAGCCTTTGGTCGTCCCCATGGCGCCCAATAGCGCGCCATGGGAACAGCCTGTATCTTCTTCCTCCTCTTTATCCTCCTCTTTTTCCAGCTCCTCCTCCTCTTCCTCCTCCTCCTCCTCCTCCTCCTCCTCCTCCTCCTCCTCCTCCCCTTGTCCGTTAATTGTCTGACCTATCCCCATCCCCAGCGGGCCATGGAATACCAGCCCCACCATACCACCACCCCAAGTGGGGATAGGCCCCTCCAAACCCGAGGAAACAGCCGAGATATTTCCATCTACGGGTGTATATCGGCCAGTGGGGCAAAAGGCCGCACGAATTGGGACAGGGATCGGTCAAACAATGTTCCGTCGAGGCTGCCGGGCCGTGACCGGGGAGGCCTGTCGGGGCCTCTGGTCCTTGGGAATCAATTCACGGAAGCTTTCAGTCGCTCCCATGACGCCCAATAGCGAGGCCAATCGCGTCGCATGGCGGTATTGGGCGCTGTTGGTCGCTATGGGGCGGCAATTGAGCGCTGTTCGGCGCTGCTAGGCGCCACTGGGCGCTGTTGAAACCTGGTGGGCGCAGTTCGCCGATGTACGCACCGAATCACAGGAGCCCGCTGTTCTTCACTCGCGATGCCGCCCGTGACCGGCCCCGCCCGCCCGCCACCCGCCCACCACCCTGGTCAAGTCGCGATCCGCGACGGCGCCGTGTGGCAAGCGGCCATTCCTGAGCATTCCCAGGCGGCGTCGGCGCGAGCCGTGACGTGACTGGCCCCATCCGCCCCCCGGTCGCGCCCCCTGGTCGCCAGGGGATACAAGAAAGGGTCTCCTGCTGTGCGGCGCACAGAGGCACACTGGTACGATGTGTCCTCCTTGGAGGCGCGCGTCCGACCCGGCCGGCCATACAGTATAACCACATTGCTGTGCATCCTTTCCCGAGCGGTGTGGTCAGAAAGCGCCCGCCACGACGCATATGCTACCAGATTTCTCGGTGGGCGCGTCGCCCCTGGGAGGGGGGGCACACAGAGTACAGCCGGCCCGTATCATAAGGATGCGCGATAAGGATACAAGGGCATTGGACGCCCACTTCGAAGCCTTTCGAGCGGGGCGCGGCCAACGAAAGTGGCCAAGGATGGACCGCGGAGGCAATGATGCAAAGGTGCCCTTGGGAAGGTCGCCCATCCTTACTATGCGGGTCGACTGTAGCATGTTGGGGTGACGCCGATGTTGGGCGCGACTCGAAGAGAGAAAGTCCACCCAAGGCAAGCGGAAGCGTCCTCGGGAGCGCAGCTCGCCACGGGCAGGTAGCCGCAGGCTGCGGCGCCTGGCCTCGGAGGCGCTGGCGCCCTCATGGGCGCCCGCGGCCGCCGTCGGGCCGCCAGGAGGGAGGAAGGGAGGGAGGGGAGGAGGGGGGGAGGAGGAGGAGGAGGAGGAGGAGGGAGGAGGAGGAGGAGGAGGAGGAGGGGAGAGAGAAGGAATAGGAGGAGGAGGAGGAGGAGGAGGAGGACGAGAGGGAGGAGGCGGGAGAGGAGGGGGAGGAGGAGGGGGGGAGGAGGAGGAGAGGAGGAGGAGGAGGAGGAGGAGGAGGAGGCGGAGGAGGAGGAGGGGGAGGAGGAAAAGGAGGAGGAGGAGGAGGAGAGGAAAAGGAGGAGGAGGGGGAGGGAGGAGGAGGAGGAGGAGGAGGAGGAGGAGGAGGAGGAGGAGGAGGAAGAGGAGGAGTTCGGGCACCTTGCGGGTAGGAGGAGGAGGAGGAGAAGAAGGAGGAGGAGGAGGAGGAGGACGAGGAGGAGGAGGAGAAGGAGGAGGACGAGGGGGGGAAGGACCCCGAGACCCGGTCGTGGTTGTCACAGCGGGCGTTCTCGCCCATGGTCGGGCCGCGGGACCATCACAGATCGATCCGGTTCGAGAAATTAGCAACAGGATGGGGTCCAGGGCTCGGGTCGTGATCACACGCGACGCCTCAAAGGCGTGGAGCCGCCCAGGGCCTGGGCACCCCTTCCCCGCGCAGGCTGGGCGCGCCCTCGGGGCCAAAATGGCTGCGGGCCGCCGGCGAGAGGAGTCGAGGGAGCAAGGGGAGGCGAGGGAGCGAGGGAGGGAGGGAGGGCGGGAGAAGGGAGGAGGGCAGGGGGAAGGGGAGGAGGAGGAGGAGGAGGAGGAGGAGGAGGAGGAGGACTATGGACTATGGACTATGGATTGGCCTGCCTCCGAAGAGGCGGGTCCGAAAAGAGAAAGGTGGAACACACAGGCGGTGGCTGCCGCTTCGGGCAGCAGGCGGAGCAGAGCAAGGGCCGCACGTGCCAACGAAAAATGGTCCCTTTGTTACCCCGCCGGCGTCAAGAACATCGCACTCAACAACACCATCGTCATCATAGTCGTGAAGGCCGTCACCGTCGAGCAGCTTACCGTGTGAAGCTGGCAAGGTGGGGAACCCACGCAAGCTGGGGGTCCACAGCAGCTAAATCCCCTGACGCGTGATACAGTCGGAAAATGGCAGGGACGACAGGTCCCAGCGAAACATTGCGCCCAGGGTCAAGCCCGTCCAGCAGGCGGCCCAATCGATCGCGGCCTGTTCTGGAAGCCGCTTTGCGCAAACACTGGCGAGACGAGTGTGACACATTTGTCGAAGAATGCGACCCGCAAAGTTTACAAAATATGTAAGGGCCGGCTTTCATTACAGTATGTCCCGTGCCGTGCGGGGCGGGACAAGGGAGTTTGCTAGGGCATGCTTATGGCGGCTGGAAGACCAGCACGGTATGCAACGGAAGCGCTGGACATCTTGATCCCAAGCCAGTTTATGGTGCACTCCCCGAGAAGGGAGGACAAGGGAAAGAGAGGGGGCAGGAGGGGGAGGAGAAGGACGACGGAGACGGGGGATGCCATCTAATTTGGCAAGGCCCTTACTGGCCATGTGGGCCACAAACATGCCAACATGCTCGACCACTGTGCGAGAACGTGCAATGCGGGTCATAGCATCCGAATCCACGGGATGCAAGTCAGCCCCACGTCGGGCGAACGTGTTGGCGCAGTCGTTGCCTGTAGTCGCCCAGACCGCCTGCACAGGCGGCATCACGTCTAAATGCGAAGTCTCTTTACACACGGAGATCAAATCATATCCGATATCACGGGCTTTGAGATGGATGCGCCCCCAAATGTCGGCGCGCGGGTCCCAGCCCGAGACAGCATGGGACTCAGGAGCCGACCCAGTATCCAGCACTCATTGACAATCAGCATAATTCTCCTAACATCCACGCGCATCAGGAGCAGCATGAAGCAAGAAAATAAGAGCGCCATGGACTCTGATCCAGGAACTGACTGGCGCAGCCCAGAATAAGCCCAAAAAGCTGCCACCCGAGCAGATCCACTAAGGCGCACCGACACAGCCGAGAAACCGCATCTGAGGGCACGGGGAGTTGGCCCATAAAAGCTCGAGCCGCCGCCGAAAACGGGCGAAACCAACAACGGCTGGTCAGAGCCTTGGAAGTCCCAGTGGGCCTCCAGGCCCAGGAGGGGGTGGGGGAGGAGCCGCTCAGGGTCAGGCACTAATGCTGAATGCCAAAGTGGATCCGCCAGGAACCTCGCACGAACTCGCTCAACATGGGCTGGCAGACCGCAGGTGCGACGATCTTCCCAGAGAGCAGGACAGCTCCAGAGTAAATGAGGCAGCGCCGAAGCCTCATCATTCGACGCGTGCCCACACAGCGAGCATGACGCCATCGGAGGTGCAGTGTAAGTGCTCGCCCACGTCAGCCGCGGCCTGGCACTCTGCCCCGGGGCCTGTGCACTCCGATATAACCTCTCGAATGCAACGACCGCATCCGTCCTCGCCCCGAGAAAACCTCGCCGATGCAACCGCCCCCATCCGCCCTCAGCGGCGCCGACGCTGAAGCCCCCGCTCCGCCATCCTCTCCAGCTCCAGCCCAGGCGCTGCCGACTAGGACTTCTTGCCTCCCACGTAGACGATCGGCATCCCCATCGCCTTCCTCAGGTCGCGGCCCGCGAACTGGCCCATCTTCGCCATGGTTTCTTCCTTCACGCCCTTCGGGGGCACCGCCCTGAAGTTGGGAGACTCGTTGATGCCGATCTGGATCTCGCCTGGGCCCTCTACCCAGACTTCCTGCTCGCCCTCGCTCGGGTTCCTGTTATTGTGGTTGCGCGTCTTGTAGCTCTCGCTAACCGCGCACGCATTGATCGCCTCTGCGATCATGGCCTGGCCGAGCTCGCCGCTGTCCCCCATCAGCTTCAGGAAGTCGTTCGGGGCGCCCACTGCCCGATCCATTGACGCTGGCACAGCGGCTTGATCTTCTCTCTGCCACTCCGACGCCATCTCCTGGATGCCTCTCATGAGCGCCATCCCCGCGTGGATGCCTGGTTGCCCCATCTTGCGCCCCTTGCCCTTCCCCCTGACCTGGCCCCCGCAGTTCTGCCCCGCTGCCATCGCCCTCCGAAACGCCCACCTGCTAACTGGCACGAGGGCGAAGTCCGAGGCCACGTGGCTCACATCTCTGATCTCTGCTGCCGAACGGAGGGTCGGCCGCTGGAGCCCGTTGATGCACCCTCTGAGGTCGAACTCCTCCCAATCTTCCGCTGCGCGTGGCTGGCGGGGGGGTCTACGACCCCCTCCTCCGACTCCGCCGCCCCCCCCCCCGTCGCCACGGCCGCGGACGCTGGCGGGCTGCCCGCCGACGCGGCGCCGGCCCCCTCTTTGCACCACCGGTACTTTCCTTTTCCCCTGCCGCCCTCGCGGCGCTTCGGCCCCCCCCCATCTTCGCGCTTGCCCCTTTCGGGCGGGGGTCGCCCCCGCTGCGCCATCGCCATCTTTCGCGCAGCGCGGCCCAGGATGGCGGCGGCGCACGCGCACCTGAAAGCCCCCCAAGCATGGAGCCTGAAAGCCACAGAGGGCGTCGACAAGGGAAGGGGGCTCTTGTACTGGATGATTCTAACAACTTCTGTTTGTTGAAACAAATCCGCGGCCCCCCGCTGCCCTCGCGACGCGGTCGGTCGTCGTTGTTTGGAGGCGAAAGAGTTCGAGCACCATGGGCAGTGATTCGTCATCACCAAGCTGGGGATCAGCGGAAGACAGTTGCGCGCCACTCCCCCGTGCCCCGCCAGCGCCGCCACCGCGGGGAAATTCCGCCCCGCGCACCTGCCCCTCTGCCCAAGTTCCCCAGTCACAAAAACTGAACCAACACTTCGCCCCCCACCGAAAACGCCCTCTGGGCGTCGGTGGTTTAGAGAGTTCCCTCTCCCACCCCTCCCGCCCCCCCCTCGGGGAGGGGTTCACCCCTCTCCCTACCCCCTCCCCTGGTGGACCTGAACGGGGGGTCGCGAGGCGTCGGGGCGCCCATGGCGGCCTCGGAGAGGAAGCCAAGATCATCGGCCCAACCAAGTTTTTGGCCCCATTGCGGCCTCCTGAGGGGGGGGCTGCAATTAGTAGCCCCCCCTCCTGTGATCGATCTCACCCAAGATGGCCCAAAGATGGCCCCCGAGGCCCCCGAGGGCGCCCATGGAGAGCCCCAAGAGGTGGCCAGGAAGCCCCACGAGGCCCCCAGGATGCCCCCAAGAGGCTCCCGAGAGACCCGCAAGAGGCCCCAAGAGACCCCCCAGATGCACCCTAGATGCCCCAAGAGGCCTCGGCGAGAATGCCAAATCATTGAGGCCACGAAGGTTTTAGCCACACGTTGGCCTCTTGGGGGGGGGCACTGATGAAGATGACTCCAAGAGCGCCTGGGAGAAAGCCCACGATGACCTCCAAGATGGCCCAAGATATCCCAAGATGTCTGAAAATGGCTTCCTCTGCGTGCTGACCGCTTCCAAGCTCGAGGCAATTCCTCTGGGCATCTTTTCTGGATGGGCCGGCGGGGATTCTTTTCGGTCGCGGCCGCAAGCGAAGAGGCAGGCGGCAGACAGGGAGTCCGGGCAAAAGGGCAAGCCTAAATAGCTACAGAATGCACAAGCCAGCCGGCCCACTCACAATGCAGCCGCGAAGCTGAAAGGGGGCTGACGGCGGGGGGCACCCTGGAAGCTCGAGCACGCGCACAGGACAAAATGTCGAGGAAGCCGATGCCTGCCATAGGCACGGCGCTGGTGGGGATTCGCGAAGCGTCAACAATTTCGGGTAGCATTCCATCCCAGGCCTCTCCAGCGCGGGGCAAGACACTGGGGTCCGTCTCAATCCAAGCCCCCCAAATCTCTCGCACCCTTCTTGAACATTGAGATGTCTGATTGCCACCGCGCGCACCAAATTCCCGACGCCCCCGCTGACCTCCGCCGGGGCCTGGAAATCTTGAGACCACCTGCTTTGCCCAGGATTTAGATGCTTCGCATGTTCCCCCAGTATCCAATCTCCTGATTT